GGGGCAGTGTTACGACAGCAGAAGTCGCGTGACACTGAGAGCATGCGCGCTGGAGTTTCTGGAAGGATTATGAATTATCGGGGAGGCCCGAGTTTGTTCGAGACGCCCTATTTGTTAGTATACAAGCCTGGCGAGAAAAACCAGCGCAATTGCATAGATAGATAGAAATAGAGATAGATAATCGAGTCAAGCGAACGGTAGTGACGGTAATATAAAGTGTGTGTTTTGTTATCGAGATTGCAAACGTATTGACTGTGGAAATTCTGTGTATTACTAAAAGCTGTATCGAGAAAGAATAAACTAGTTTTAATTAAGGAAGGACTTGTATCGCTGAAGTTCCTCGGAAAGAATTTATACCGGAAATTAACAAACGTGCAGATACGCAACAATTATAAAGTGTGATTAAGTGTGTTTATGCTTAATCTTTCACAATTCAAAATAATACCTAGTATTATTATGAAAAAATTTAACAATTCTAATTATCCCCTCCACACACACTGATAGACAAAATGCAGGATTGACAATAACAAATGAGTTATGAAGTTAGGATTTAAAAAAAAAGTTTCTTCATCAGAAATGAACTAATCAAACGATTATCACATGTAACGTCTCTCAGATAGCTGTTCCAGCGGATGAAACATTTTGAACATGCCAAACAGCAAGGCTAGATATTCACCAGTCTAGTATAGTAATATTAGTTAAGTCAAATCTTTATGTTGAGTTAGAAGCAAACTCATCCATTAGTCATATCACTCTTTCATCCTAACCCATGAAAAGTTATGACAAATACATGTACACACAACCGTCAGGTACAAATGTAGTATGTTGTATCCTTGAATTACCAGGAATATATTGGTATTTTCAACGTGAATGGCAATTTACACATGGGCTGAGCGACCATATCAGATCCCCTGGGATTAAGGAACAGTCATTCTGAATTTGAACTACTGACAATGCATTGCCTGGCTTTGACTTGAATAACTGGAACGACGGTCATTGTTATAATTCACATACAGCTGAAAGTGCAAAGCATGTTCAATGGTGCAAACCTTGGGTCTGCAGTTCAACATTTAACCACTAGGTCATGCCAGCCATGTTACTATAACAGTGTAAAGATATATTCAAAAATCTTACTTTATTTACCTGCTGCCAACTGATCGTTATTCAGAGGCGTTAACCGTGGGTGCTACACCCCACTTGTATATATATGACTTATATAGCAACTATAAATAATAATGTTATATTACATTTCTGAGGGGCGTACCCCAAGACCCCTAGAGTGAGCTGCTAAAAGTAGCTCCTTAAACTTTCAATCTCTCAGTTTGAAAATCCTCATGTCTAGCCAAGCACCCCACTTTACAATTCCTTCCTACACCGCTGATAAATTCTAACTAGCATATAGCCTGTCAAAAATGACGGGGCACGTACTACCACTTCTACCTCACCCCATAGTATATCCTAACCTCACTTTTTATAGCTAACTGAAATATATATATATATTGCGAAATCAAGTTTGACCAACAAAGAGGTAGAAAAGTGCAATCGAGGCAGTCAAACGTCGGTAAATTTCTTTGTGAGTGAATCAAAATTAATATTATACACCAAATGAATTCGTGGCGTATTTATAGAATAATTATTGGCAAAAATCAATTAGATTAACAACATCTAATATCTAGAAAAGCCAGTGTGTTTTTGGTAACACTATGTTCCAACGATGGCTTTTATGTCATGTTGCTATGCAACAAAACTATCTATATAAATATAATAGTACTGTCTGTTGTCTGTTCATGTAACTACTTCTCAGGGTGTGAATGGATCTTCACCAAAATTGGTACGGAGGCTCATTAGGTCCATGGGCGTTTTTTACCACTACCTCACCTCCTGTGGATGAATCATCATCAAATTTGATATGGAGGTTCATTGGATCCATGGAAAGATACATAGAACTTTTCAGTTTTGCTTTTTGCGGTTTTTATGCGCGTTTTTGCGTCTTTTACCACTACTTCGCCCCCTGTTGATGGATCTTCACCAAATTTGGCATGAAGGTTTGTTTGGTCCATGCGGAGATACATGCAGAGTTGCTGTTTCACATTTTGTGTTTTGCAGTTTTTATGGGTGTCTTCTGAAAATTACATCCTAAAGGAAGCAGCTTTTCATATCCTAAGATAACCTTTAATTAATCATGAATTTACATAACTCATGCCCAGGAGACGGGTACTCCAGCTAGTAACCTAATATTGTTGTTAGTCTATGTACTGAAAACATGAAATGAAATGTATAGACAACAAAATTTGAAAAATATTTTTGATATTGTTGCGTCAGCGAGGTCACGTGACTAGTATCACGCCACCTCTTTCT